GAGGGATCTGACGCCGCCATGCTCGGCGCTGCGTGGTGTGCAGGAACAAACCCCTCCCCCGTTAAGGTGTGGATGTGTTAAGATAAGCCGACGTTTTTTTGTCTTTCTTTTGTTTTACTCTTTTGCGTGGGACTGGGTGTCTCGCTGTGTGTGTGTGTGTGATTGACCTCGTGGCTGTTTGCTGCCATTCTTCATCTGCGTGTGAGTGGGAGGGAGTAATGCACCTTTGTCACCATCCCTTTCCTGTCTGTCCTTTTTGGTTTCGTCGTGGTGTTCCTCGTATTTGTGAAGGATGTCGTTCCATGCTGCTCTGCGCAGGGTGGCGCATCAGCGTGTCGCTCTTCTCTGCGGTACAATCGGGGCGGCGACAGACGCCGCTGCCGTGCCCACCCTGACTTCCTTCGGTGCCCTTGGCGGCCGTCGGTGCGGCGCGGCGACGATGCTGGTGAGTGTGCGTTGCATTAGTTGGAACCCGGCGAAGTGGGCGGGCGAGCCCGTCGTGGGGCGGGAGTCGCACCGCAACCTTGAGGAGGAGCTGCCGGAGGTGTTCGCGCAGCAGCCGCAGGAGGTGGATGACTTCATTCGCCCAGACAAAAGCGTCTTTGAGCGGCTCGAGGATTTCTGGGACTGGATCGTGAGCTTCATGCAGCCGGTGGAGAAGCAGATGGAGATTATGCGCAGTCTGCGGCACAACGGGTTTCTTGGGTTTGATTTTGGAAGTTGGGGCATTGTGTTTCTTTTCTACGGTATCGTGATGCGTCTGTGCACCCTCATTCCCTCCCTCTACAGCCACCGGAACGCGCTGCGGATGAGCTACATTGGTCCACAGATTTCTGAGATCACCAACAACCAAAATCGGGCCAAAAATGACCGCACACTCAGCACTGCGGAGAAGCGCGTGATTAAAGATGGTTACAACCGAATGAAATATGCTCTGATGAGGAAACACGGGTGTGCACAGTGGAAGAGCTTTCTTACAATGCTCACTGCCCCCGTTACCATGTCTGCCTTCTTTTCTATCCGTCGTCTGGCCATATATGAGTCGGACCTGGAGATGGCACCGTTCCTGTGGGTGAAGGACCTGACCATGCCGGACCCCACGTACGGGCTACCGCTCATTTGTGCGGGCATGTTTTTAGCGAACTTTGAGATGAACCAGCAAATGCAGCGTGGTGGGCGAAGCTCCTCTGGTATTTACATCCGCTGGGCGGTGCGTGCAGGGTCGCTTGCAGGCGTTTACATGTTTGCGTCGCAGCCCTCTGCCATGTTTGCGTACTGGATTGGCTTGTCGACGGCAGGTCTGCTGCAGCCGCTGCTGTTGCGTTGGCAGCCGTTCCGCGACTTCTTCCAGTTTCCCGATCCTCCACAGGCCGCAAAGTCACAGATCATCGCGGAGGTCAAAGGCCCGTCCTTGATGGAGCGACTTTTCACCTCAAAGGAGGAACAGGCACGACGTGAGAAGGAGCGGCAGTCGCTTCGGGAGGAACGCAGCAGGAAGAAGTTTGAAAAGGTAGACGACTACGACGATGTCGTTTTTGGCGAGGATGACGATCTCCACAAAGCGAAGAGAAGGTACTGAGGAGCGCAAGGTTGGAGAGGGAGAGGAAGAAGAGGGCAATGCAACCAGCAACGAAAGGATGGCAAAATAGAGAGAGGGAGAGAGCGAACAAGTGGAAAGAAAGGCGTGTGGGAGGTGGAGGGATGGAGGCTGAGACGGAGAGAGAAACGCGGGACGTTGTTGTTGCTGGTGGTGCTGGTGGTGTCTTTGACGGAAAAGTATCGACGGAGCCCACGTTATCGGTTCGCCACAGTTATTTCTTCTTGCTGTTGTGGCTCTCGTGTGGTGCGTGCTAGGGATTCCTGGCTGATTCAAGCCATGGTGTTTGTCTGGAACTTTTCTCCTTATCGTCGTTGTTACTCTCTTTCTTTTCCGACTTTTTTTTGTTTTGTTTGTGTTTTCGCGCCTTGCCCCGCTGCCCTCACGTTGCGTCACCGCTGACTTGTTCTGAAGGCCGCGGCATTTTGGTATTGGCGGTGGTGGGGCATGCGTGGAGTGGCTGGCCACCGACGCGGGCGTGACGACGGTGGCGGAGCGGCCCCGCAGGAAGGACGGGCGGCGCGTGTGCGGCCCCGGACGGAGCATGACGCCGACGCCGACGCCGACGCCGCGGCGGGGCCCCTTTCGCACCCCTTTAAGGCGGAGTTCAACGACCACTTTGAGACGTCGATGGAGGCGCTCCGCGACATCGCGGTTGTTGTAGAGCAGCTGCGGCTGCTGCTGCGGCCGTCCGCCCCGGAAAACTTCGTCGTATACGACCCCTACTACTGCGCCGGGACGGTTGTGCGGCACTGGAACGCGCTGGGGGTGCAGCGAGTCATACACGAGAACAGGGACTTTTACAAGGACGTTGCGGAGGGGAAGGTGCCGCTTGATTACGACATGCTCGTCACGAACCCCCCGTTTAGCGGCGACCACATTGAGCGGCTCTTCGGATACCTGGTGGCGACGAAAAAACCCTTTGCCTTTCTGGTACCCGACTACACAGCCGCGAAGGACTGGTACAGGGCGGCGGTGAGGCGGCACTTCACCCTTGCGCCATCGTCTGGTAAAGGCGACATCAACGCGCCGCGACACGCCCGACCAAAAGCTCCTGCTGCAGCTCTACAGCCGCCGCCCTTTCTCAGGCTGGATCCACCAGCAAGCACGGATAAGATACTCGATGCCACTAGCACCAACAAGGAGGAGGAAACGGACACGTGTGGAGGCGGGGAAGCGGTTCCTATCGGCACGGAACCGTTTTATTTGATTCCGCGCTGCCGCTACGACTTTAGGCACCCGAAAGGGGCGGGAAATGATCACTCGCACTTTCGTTCCATGTGGTTTGTATGGGCAGGGCGGCGCACGACGGAGGTGTTACGGGGCGCAAAGGTGGAGTTCGCCCGTAGGCAGCGTGAGGCTTTGACGCAACGGCAGGCGATGCCGGATGTCGTGCACGGGCTCGACGCACTGGCGGAGGGCCACTACGTACAGTCCGGGTTGCGGCCCAATCCCCAGCGGCGGGCGAGGCAGCGACATGGCCGTGGCTGAGACGGGGTTCCCGTGCGTGGGCGCGGTGGGAGGGCCGTCGCTGCTCGTGGCAAGCAATGGAGTGGGTGGGAAGCAGGCGGGGAGAACCGGAGGGCGAGCGGTTGGAAGATGTCTTGTTTTCCTTTCCTTTTATGCATCCCCTCCTTTTTTTTGTCCTTTTTTTTTGTGCTGTTGCTGTTAACTGAAAAAAAAAAGCGAAATGCTCATTCCTCGCGGCGCGCCGAGGCTTTGCTTGCATTTCCTTCCTTCTCGATTTCTCTGCGTTTATTCCTGCTCTCGTGCCACTTTTGTACTGCGTGCATTGCCAACGGGCAGTCAAGGAACAGAGCGTGCCAACAGGATGACGATGATGAGCGTGTTGGCCAACGCGCTTCGCAGCATTGCGAGCGCGGAGCGCCGCGGCAAGCGTCAGGTTCTCATTCGCCCATCGTCCAAGGTCGTCGTGAAGTTTCTGCAGGTGATGCAGAAGCACGGCTACATCGGCGAGTTTGAGATCATCGACGACCATCGTGCGGGTAAAATTGTGGTGAATCTCAACGGCCGCCTCAACAAGTGCGGTGCCATCTGCCCCCGCTTCGACTGCACCGTCCCCGACTTTGAAAAGTGGGTGAAGAACATCCTCCCCAGCCGTCAGTTCGGCTTTGTGGTGCTCACGACGTCGCTTGGCATAATGGACCACGAGGAGGCGCGTGCCCGCAACACTGGTGGAAAGGTCCTTGGCTTCTTCTACTAAACTCCGTGTTCCTTGCCCTGTTAATTTTTCTTTTTCCTTTTTTTTGTTTTCCTTGTTTCTGC